GGATTGAGCAGCCTGACACATGAAAGGTTGGGACCACAGGGAGCTTCAGCTACTTGGCATCTTTCAGGCTTTGGTCCTTTAATGTATGCTTGCTGCTGTAAGTCAGAAGACATTCAGCAATGGGGTTAGTGCTCTGGCTCACACCTATAGGGAACCCTTCTCTTTCTCTCAAACCTTTGTCTCTCCTTCTGCTACTTATTTTCGCAATGGAAGATATTGCTAAATGATGCCAGAAAGTATTTTTCGATATTTAAAATAAGCAAAATAGCTTTATGAGGAAAGGGGTCATTGCGTAAAAGTCATGAACACGCTGAGTTGTTACTGTGTAACTGAAAGACGCTAGTCCGACATTCCCCCTCTTGCCTCTTAGGCTCAGCACTGCAAGGGACTCATAGCACTAGCAGCTTAGAAGCGGGGGCCAGTTCAGCCTCAGTTCATGTACCTTGCTCTCCGCATGCTGGAGAGATCTGTCACCTCCACTCTTGCACTTCTGCAGCACATCAGTTCCACTGTGCCCTCACCTGTAGTAGAGGCATGGTAGTTGGGAAGAGGATACTAGCTCTGTGCAAAAACACCTAGGGTAAAAAGGCAGTTCTCTGTGTACTTGTGGAGGAATATTGGGTTGTTGAAATAGCTGAAAGCTTTTGGGTAGGAAGAGTCTGAGGCGTCACGGTCACATATGAAAATGGGGGGCGGGGGGGGGGGGGGGGGGAAAACATGTATGAGGGAGCTGACACTCATCTTGTGTAGCGTATGCAGTGTGTGTGGAAAAGAGCATATTTGTTTCTGTATTGAGAGGAAGGGGAACTTTGTGCAAATCAAGATGTTTACACAGGTGGCTGGCTGGGCTGCGGCATTACTCTTGTGAACTCCTTTGGACAACTGAAATAAGAATGCAGCAATAGTGAAGCCAAAGACTGCTGCTTCGAGTGCTTAAATGCAAACCTCAAAGGCGGGGATGCAACATTGTTTGTGAGCTCCCTCAGTCTGGGGATCATACAGTGCTGCTGTTGTCTGCTGTGTTATATCATGAGACCTGCTCCAAGTTTGAGCTGGTGATACACTGGTAAAAAAAAATCATGGCATCTGTTTTACCTGTTGCCCAGATTACTACTGCTTATAACAGCAGTTACTGGAAGTGTTAAGGACGTCAGCATAGTACAGACTTACGTACAACTGTTCAGGCATCTCTGGTTTGATGCTAGTGGTCCTCTGTAGTTGTAATGACTTTTCCATTCAGATGCTACGCGTGCAAAGGCATCTACGTCAGAGTTGCAACTGTTTGCCCTGCGGTTGTATACTGCTTTCTGGTTGGGGTGGTTTCTCTTTGAAAACTGTGACATTGTGTTTTAACAGTGGAGAATGGAAACTTGGATAACTTACCAGATCAGCAGCGCCTGGGAACCGTCAGTGTTCGCATCATGGTTCATGAGTGGCCTTTGGCATCCAGTTCTGATTTGCAGCTGATTGTCATTCAGGAAGAAGTGACAGAAATTGATGGAAAACAGGTAAAAAAAACTCCCAACATTCTGCTTGTTTTTAATTTAGGAGAAGCAAGTAGTTACCAAGGATTAAAAGGTTTACATGTGTCTGGCTGGTGGTTAGAGCACAAAGTATATAATCTAATGCTAGCTAGCACAGTACTGAGGGAGATAATACGAATTTGCCTATATAGTAGCGGGGGTGTTTCATAAGGAGACTTCAAGTTTTAATTATTAAAATACAAATAGGAGCATTAAGTGTTGGATGACTTTCCCTTAAGCTTGTTAGAATATCATTAACTCTGTCACATGCTCTTTCAACACATGCATTTATGCAAGCAAAGTCAGATTCACAAGCAATATTTCATTTACAAAATAATGTACAGAATAAATAAAAGGGGCATGGGCTCGTTCTGAGTCCTGAGGTTTTCCTCATTGTTTATTCCAAGCTAACAAAGCGTTTCAAGCACGTAGCATGGGGAACAGCTTGCAGCAGCAAATTCTTATGGCAGGTGGGCTTGTTGTGAAAACCCACAACACCTGAGAGCTTAGCCTTAGAATATTTTGCATGTAAGATAATGAACTCATTTGAATAAAAATCTTGATAATGAACATGGAGTTTGAGATGAACAGGAAAAAAACCCCCAAATTCTAACTGTATTTGCACAAATACCAGCGAATGTGAGGGGTTACAATTCTAGCTGAGGTTGAAATGTGCAGAACTGAGTTCTCAAAATCGCCTATAAGGTATAGTTATTTTTCCAACCAGAGAGGTTCTGGAGAGAAGATACAGCTGCTGAAGTTAGCAAAAGTGTCAAATTTTTGCTTCAGTACATGTCTGCATCTTACATGTGGCCAGGCTCTTTTGACGCTGGCTCATGTTCTGCTGCTTTTTTTTTTTTTCAAAGGAGAGTGATGATAATAGCATTGATCCTTAATTAATTGCATGCTCAGCATGTAGTATTTTTTTTACAGGGATCTGCATCCTGTCAAAATTTTACCGTTAATGAAAAATCCCACTGGGAGGTTTGAAGCTTTTCTACAGAGGTGTTTATCCCACTGTGAGGAGACTAATATATTATCCTGGTTTGGTTCAGTTGTTACACAATGGTGTTGTATTTCAGATTTCAAACTAGACATCACAACGCATTTCAGATTTTCATAGGGACCTGGTAAGAACAACCAGAAAGCTGATGCTGTTTCCTTAATTGTTCCTTTAGGTCAAAAGCTTTCAATCTTTCTCATTAGTTATCAGCTGCCAGTAACAATCATCTGTTTCATGACATTGTTCTGTGCATGTTCAAAGCAAAAGCAGAGCGGTGGTTGGCCTATGGCTCTGAAAGCATGGGTGAAACTGTATCACATGCTGCATTCCTCTTTTGTTAGTTATATTTCTATGTAGCAGTTATAATTATGGTCACAAACATTCTGGATTTCTGTCAGTTCTTGGCCTCACGATGTGGTTATTGGTGTTAGTAGGAGTCATGCTGAATGTGTTCTATATAAGCGATGCTTGCAGTGATTGTTAAGTGAAATGGGTCCAGTGCATCACTGGAAGAGGAGGAAGAAAACTATTCTTTTGGTTGTTGAAAAAAGCAACGTTACTGCAAAAGCAGAAGTGTCAGTCTTGCCTCGGCAACACTTTCAATGTTTGCAAGTGCTCTTTCACTATGTACTTGAGTTTTCCATGCCCTAAAATGCCTCCCTGAAAGAGGATCGTAATGAGCTATGTAAGACTTGGTTAAAAGCCCATGGAGTGCCTATCACATGCTTTTGCAGAGAGAGAGAGAGACCCAGTCTGTTCAGCATATTTTCTAATGTGGTATAGTCTATAGAAGTGTGGTAAGTAAAAACAAAGAATACTAATTCATGTTATAACATCCCTATGTCTAAATCTTAATGGCTTGGAGTTTTCTGTGATGTATTGGTTTTCTCTGCCAGCCTACTTCACTCTTACTTTAAGCTCAGTAATATCAACATGTTTGCAGCTCTTGTAGGTTCAGCA